ATTATTTGCTAATAGTGCCAATGGTGTCAGCGACCAGCCAGTCGTTTCATGAATCACATAAATATAGTTATCCAAGCTAACAAACTTATCAGCGTTTGCTGATATTTCAGCTATGATAATATAAACTCATTTCTATTCCAATATGTGCATACATCGTACGATACGATAAGCTATTACATAATGATTATGGTTCTTCCATTAACATTTTTCAAAAAGCACGTAATTCAAGTATTTGTATTAACCGAATAGTCGGCTAATGGATTAGATACTTATCCTAACTACAGTTATGTCCGTGAATGTATTCGCGGACGTGACAGCGAAGCATTTTAATAAATGTGAAGCCTCATGAATCCTGAAAGAGCGGTACGCGTCAGATATAAAATTATCATTGGTTGCAACTGTATCTGTCAACAAATGGTAAAGTATTTGCGTCGGTTTCGTCATCCTGATCCTGGTCGAAACGCATTTTCAGGTTTCATGGACGATATCGTCAAGGCTATGAAGATCATGATTTTACTTGTACCATGATCTAACGCAGGGATGACGAACTTCTCTTCCACTGCGAAACAACCGCTGCCCCATTACTATCTTAAGCTGACGATAAACAGTAATCCTTATATATTTAGAATAAAATATGGACTTAAATCATAGTTATTACGGGAACTCGTCGAATCGTTCAAGTTCTAACGATTCGATTTAACAAATGCATCAAAATAATCGATATGATCAATATAGGAGTTATCGAAAGAAGTCGGAACGATTGAATATCGTGCTATCTGAACTTTCGTACGTCTCTCTCGAACTCGCTTACTTAAGTTCTACAAGTGAAATCCCCGTGATTCCTTACACCGTATAGATGAAGAATGAAGGGCCAATAGGTGAAAACCGATGAAGCACGGTGCCTTACTTTTACTCTATCATCCGCGGATAGTAAGCAGACATAGCAGTAGCCAAATCGGAGAGAAGACTATACAGTATACATATACATATGTATTATAGATCCGTAAATGGCTCGCGAGCCACCAGTGCGTCGCTCTTGATCTGACGCATTAGTTCATCGATTTTAATACAAACAAGCTATGAATATGAAACTTAATTTCAGTTTCTTCCTTGTTACACGCTTCGTTTCTTCTGTATCTCGTTATCTTTACTCTATCATCTGTTACCCCTTTCCGCAGTCAACGAACCCGGCCTCCTTTTCCCATTGTCGTATACTGCCTAATTACTATCCTTCGTGCTGGTCTCTGCACAGTTTAATGTCTCCTGGACACCATTCGACGCGAGCAACCTGAAATCCCCTTTTTTGATTGGAACAAAATCAAATTGGAGTCTTTCTTTCCTGCCGGCGAGACTCGAAAAAGCCGAGACTCAGTTGCTTTCACAATTTTTCTATCGCCAGATTTCTACATAACTTAGACCGAGCATTTGAAAGCGAAGAGAGAAATTTATCTTTCACTGGAACAAGAAATTGTTACCGTTTAATTTCATTGCTCCAGGATTACCTGAAAGTGGAACAATATAACGTAAAATTTACGCGAATAACAGATAAGGATTAAAAAACTGTATAGGCGACGGTATCTATGCTAATCGTTAGCATTATCAAGAAACCGGCGGTAGACAATTAGATGAAACCCGAAAAATATGCATGGTTCTCGTGTTAAAATGCGCATAAATTGGAATCTGATTAATTTGTTAATAACGCATACCGATCTAATGAAGATCGGTGGCTGGTAATAGATCATGATGTCAGGGTCGCTGATATGCTATATCAAACGGTTGCACGATTATTCCGCGTCAACCTGTATTTCCGGTTGTCCGTTCGCAACGTGAACTCGGCGCGCGGTCATTCCTACGTATACGCACGCTCTCTGCGCGCGTTCTCGCTGCATGACATAGCTATAGTTAGCTTTGGTACACGGCCAGAAATTGCAGGAAGACGCGTAGCTATTATGTACACTTACCCTCGCCGCATGCCCAAAGACTTTGCAAGTCGAAGACCAACTCCGGTAACAGTACTGTGGGTCGTGATCAAACATAATAGAAAAGTGCAAGTGTTAAGCTTCTCCGAAGCGGAATCATGCTAATTATTACGCAGAGAGTTCACATACTTTAATTAATTGCACTCAACGCGTACTTGAGTATCTCCTTCGTCGCGATGGAAAGACGTTTATGAAGATATTCCATCTATCTTAGCCATTAAGTGGTATTTTTAAATCAGCATTTTTGTATTTGCTGCGTCGATTCTTTTTTCGAATCCGTTAGAACTTGTTTATAGACTTTATTTCTTGTACTCGCGCATTGGCTATACTCGAATTACTCGAGGAAAATGTAAATTCCATAACTTACGCGTGGAACTTGCCAATACCTCCGTCTACTTACTTACTACATCTCGCGACGTATCTACGATGTGCTTAAATCAGTCGGGTACGCGTATCTTGTATGTGAGTCGGGTGTAAAGAACCTCTTGCGTCTGCAAAGTCCATCGTCATGGTTTAAATAATTCAGCGAACCGTTACTCCGACACGTGGACAATCCCTTCTGCGACCGTCTCTCCCGGTCTTCTTTCACCGGAGTTAAGCTACCTGCTCCCATCCTATTTTTTTCTTTCTTCAAGGTGCGCCGCATCTTCCGTGATGTAACGAAGCTCCGAGACGGTCACTGCACTCATTAATCTCTTCCTCGGGAAAACCATTCGCCGTAGACACGGGTAGTTCTTAAACTGTCGCCGGTCTAGCAAGCGCGTCGACAAATTGTTAATCTAGATCCAGTGTCGGATTGTAAGAAGGATGTCTAATACTTGTAAAAGAGACTTTTATAACTAGCACGAGGAGGATTTGTATGATAGTTATTGTCAGATCAGTTTTATTGTGATACTTGTGAACAAGCGTGGAACGGTATTTATAGTATACATATTTCTTTTTCATCTTGAAATACACCCAACTGGTCGTCAATTTACTTTCCTTCTCCAAATCGAGCACCAGGGGTGGGTTTCTATTTACAGGTGTACGCAGCTGACTCGACATAGTTCTCCTTAAAAGGTTCACGTTGATTGGACACCTTTGATTCGTGTTAGAAAAAATACAATACGCTTATCATTCGCTTTAATAAGACCTAATTAGTATTTTAAGTTGATGTGCATCTTTCACGTTTATTCGTTTCAATCAGAATGGAGTAAAAGCAAAAAGATGTTGTGGTTGGTATCAGGTTGTGCATGTAATTCGCATAACGTGTTTATTCCTTATTAGCATATGTTAACTTCTTGCACGTTAAGATGCGGTACTTGTTTTCGTTCTGAGAAAAGTATCGTAACTAATGACTTATGCTTAGGTGAGTACCCTCGGTTTCAGTCTGGCTAGGGACACTTTAAGGGCTTCTACAACCCCTGGGGAAAGATGACAGAAGACTAAACATAGAACGGCTGCGTCGTTTAAGTTACAGTATCGAGCTAGCTGTATTTTTTGTTTTCGTTGCATGTAAATATCGAGAAACAAATACAATGTAACGAAAAGCTATACTTTTATAAAGTAATTATTAATAAAAAACTGTATTTCAATCAGAGTAATAACAGTTCTTGGATACCAATTTCTTAAATAAATGCTACATGCGAAATTTGTACGTGGTGGGCTGTTAATATCTGTCGTCTTTATATGAGTCAGCATCTCGGAGTTTTAGTCGGATCACAATAACAGTATTTATATTTATGACTCTGTAAATCAAAAGTCGTCTGAAAACATATACAGCTCGTTAATTTAAATGCCCGAAGAAATATGTACGCTTCGGACAGTTGAGTCTGGATTAAAAAATCGTTGTCTCGCGTTGCCTTGAACAGCAACAATGTTTCCAGCCAGACACATTTATTCCGTTGCTGGTTGCCGTGAGTGCGTAGGCAGGCGGAGAAAAAGCGATGTACTCACATACGGCGAGACTCAGAAAGTATCTGTGCAGCTTCGACGCGTCGAATCGACTTGGGAATCAGTTTGGAGTCGAGATTATACGATAGTTGACATTCTGCGAGCATGCAACATTATGCCTGAAAATTGCATCCATCGCTGATGTGTCAGAGAAATAATACGTGATACTTCATCATCGCGAGGTGTATATTCAATTTCGTGTCTCACCGAGTATATGTACCGCGACTTATAAAACCAGTTGCATACCGCGTTCGTGTTTGTCCCCGACGTGGAATCAAATGGGACGACTGTGACGATGGAAAGAGAGGTGAGACTGGTCGAGAGAAAATAGGGTGAAGGCGAGCGTAATTGAGAGAGCAAGAGAGAGAGAGAGAGAGAGCGAGAGAACGGGTACGAAAGAGGATTGTCGTACGTCGTATCTCGTTCTCGCAGACAGTACGGCGCCTCATGATCTATATTAATTACTTATCCGTGATACGATTCGGGATAAACAATGCGCCGTACTATGGCGCACCCACTTTTTCGCTCGACGCCAATTATGGCGCCTTGAACATCGCAAATAGATTGCGATAATTTGAAACGTTGATTTGATAGATCAATGATTAATGGTTTGACATATGCTGTTAGTTTCTTCTTTCTAATCTAGTCCAATTATTTTCTGAACGAATGAGCAATGCTCTTAAGGAATTAAGCACGATTATTATAACTCTACACTGTAGTTAGATACTTCGGAATTAATCTTGCTTCTACTTTATTTTATTAACATGTTTGGATTAATCATACATCAAAAATCTATTTCTGTCTATGTGATCACCGGTTTAGCGGTACATTAAGAGATTTTTAGTGTCCCTTGGCGTTTACGTCTTTTTTTTTATTGAACGTATCTGATTGGTGTGTGACAAAACAACCGCAGAGGTGGACGTGATGAATGATTAAACACGCGCGTAACACTTGACCGCGAAAGAAAGTACTTGCCGACGCTATCAATTATTCATTAGGCAGTCTAACATGCGTGTATTTCAGTGGTCTCTTTATTCTTCCACGAGTGCCGTCGATCTTGGTAAAGTTCTCTCGTGTTTTATTTTTCAGAGCGATCCCAGTACGGCTTTCCTGCGTGCAGCTCGTGCGGGGCAGCTGGAAAAGGTTTTGGAATACTTGGAGTCCGGAGTGGACATTAATGCTTCAAACGCTGTAAGCTGATGCATATGCATTTTTATTAGCCGTCAGCCAATTTATGAATCGTATTTATAAGACGTATCAATTACAGAACGGCTTGAACGCTTTACACTTGGCAGCTAAAGATGGACATTTGGAGATCGTCCGAGAACTTCTTAACCGTGGCGCGGTGGTTGATGCCGCTACCAAAAAGGGGAATACGGCATTACATATCGCTTCTCTTGGTAAATAGGAACATTTCCATTTTTATCTACCTCACGCGTTTTTTCAAGACGAGGATGTTATCGCGTAGAGATACATGCACTTTTAGTTATCAAGCTTTTCCCTCGAGTTACGCTCTACTTTCGACGATACAGAATCTCCCGTACTTCCTATTGATCCGCACTTTTTATATCGTCGTTATAAGTTCTAAGAATGCAATTTGTAGAAAGTGTATATTGCACATAATGTACATGGGACGAGCATTCCGAGTTGAAATTAATATCTCGTTGCAGCTGGACAGGAGGAGGTGGTACAATTGCTTGTACAACGAGGTGCTTCTGTGAATGCACAGTCACAAAATGGGTTTACGCCACTCTATATGGCCGCACAGGAAAATCATGACTCTGTGGTCAAGTTCCTTCTGAGCAAAGGTGCCAATCAAACATTGGCTACTGAGGTGCGTAAACGAAGCGAATGTTTACCGATCAAACATTTATACACGATGACTTGAATATATTCACAATGGAACGCAATTTCATTTAATTTCTCAATGCATTTTTTAATTATACAATTCACAAATGTTAATAAATAAATACCAGTAAATAAAATCTACGTTTCTTACACGCATTATTAGGATGGCTTCACCCCGCTGGCAGTAGCGATGCAACAGGGTCACGATAAAGTAGTAGCTGTACTATTGGAAAATGACACTCGTGGTAAAGTTCGACTGCCCGCCCTCCACATTGCTGCCAAGAAAGACGATTGCAAGGCGGCTGCCCTACTTTTACAAGTATGTCGCAATTATTTGCCATCGAGGCCCTAGCGCATTCGATCCGACCCGATCTGATCCGATCCATATGGCCGTGGCGCACGTCAAGTTATTTAAACAATTCCGTATTTTCAGAACGATCACAATCCCGACGTAGTATCGAAGAGCGGTTTCACGCCGCTCCATATAGCTGCACATTACGGCAACGATCGAATTGCTTCCTTGCTTTACGAAAGAGGGGCCGATGTGAACTTTACGGCAAAGGTGAGGGTTCATACCGTCATGAATCGCAGCGAAATTCCTTGCCTTATCAAAGAGCAATCTACAAATAATTTATTCCATTTCCCAGCACAATATAACGCCGATGCACGTGGCGGCGAAATGGGGAAAGATAAAAATGGTGAACCTTCTAATGAGCAAGGGGGCGAACATCGAAGCGAAAACTCGAGACGGTCTTACCCCTCTTCATTGCGCGGCGCGATCCGGCCATCACGAGGTCGTTGATATACTGATCGACAAAGGAGCGCCGATAGGTTCCAAAACGAAGGTAAACGCATCGCATAGGAATGTTTTGTACGGGATTCCCTGACAAATCGGCTGAGAGTCTTGTTTTCCGTTGATAGAATGGTCTTGCGCCGTTGCACATGGCTGCTCAAGGAGATCACGTTGATGCTGCAAGGATATTATTGTATCATCGGGCGCCGGTGGACGAAGTGACGGTAGATTACTTGACGGCTCTACACGTGGCAGCTCATTGTGGCCACGTACGGGTGGCTAAGCTTCTACTCGACAGAAACGCCGATCCGAACGCGCGAGCTCTAAACGGTTTCACTCCGCTTCATATTGCTTGCAAGAAGAACCGATTGAAGGTCGTTGAGCTCCTTCTAAAGCACAAAGCTAGCATCGAGGCGACCACAGAGGTATACGCGCGTTCCAATGTCAGTTGGGTAATTTATTCGGTGCCTAAAGTAATTCGATACCTTGTGAACTTCAATTACATAATGATCACGATAGAAATAGCGGTGCTTTCGATTATCTGGGCATTGCAGTACCGAATTACTTTATACATATTGTACATATTTAATACTTTTCATAGCCGACATTATAAATACCCATCATAGGTATTATAGCATCAATTGTACTTGCCTTTACATAGAGACCTGAATAGAAATAATTGACAGAAAATAATTATGACAGGGAGATATTATTATTTTTTTAGTAATAATAGCTCCGTTTTTATTGCTTAGTCCGGATTGACGCCTCTACATGTAGCAAGCTTCATGGGGTGCATGAACATAGTGATTTATTTACTGCAACACGCGGCTAGTCCCGATATACCGACAGTAAGAGGCGAAACGCCTTTGCATTTAGCTGCCAGAGCGAATCAAACTGATATTATCAGGATACTCCTTAGAAATGGTGCCCAAGTTGATGCCAGAGCAAGGGTAAAGAAAACATATTTTAGTATTTATTAATTTTCATTTCAATATCCACGTTATTATTTAAAAGAACATCTTTCTAAACATGCTTAGATCTTTTTTTACTACTTTTCTTTTCTTATTCGTACTTTCATTTATTAAAAACGGATTTGAAAAATGGGAAATATTACAGGAAGAACAAACGCCACTTCATGTTGCTTCCCGATTAGGCAACGTTGATATCGTAATGTTGTTACTTCAACACGGTGCCGATATAGACGCTACGACGAAAGATTTATACACACCGCTTCATATTGCTGCTAAAGAGGGTCAAGAAGAGGCAAGTGTCTTTTTATTTAATTACTTTATTATTAAATCTGTGTATTATGCAAAATAAAAATAATTATTAATAATATAATATATTGTTAAACTATTAAATTAAATTAATTTCAACACATCCGCGAGATTTAATTAATCTAAATTCTATTTTACTTCGCCACAGGTTGCATCCGTTTTGTTAGAAAACGGCGCATCGCTTACCGCGACGACCAAGAAAGGATTCACTCCCTTACATTTGGCAGCTAAATACGGTAACATGAACGTAGCAAGATTGTTGTTGCAGAAAAATGCCCCTGTCGACGCCCAAGGAAAGGTCAGCGAAATCTTCAATTCTCACGCTATTTTTTTATTATAAATCTTACATGAAATATGAATTTATTTCTTTGATTAGAATGGAGTAACTCCGCTTCACGTGGCATCTCACTATGATCATCAAAATGTTGCGTTGCTGCTACTCGATAAGGGCGCGTCGCCGCATGCTATGGCTAAAAATGGTCACACACCATTACACATTGCCGCACGCAAGAATCAGGTAAGCAGTTTAAGGTACACGAGTTAATTGAATTTTTCTGAATTTAGTAGTATGACTAATATAATTTATATGATTGGCGCAGATGGATATCGCAACCACTTTATTGGAATATGGCGCGAAAGCAAACGCAGAATCAAAGGCTGGATTTACGCCGCTACATTTGAGTGCACAAGAAGGCCACACCGATATGTCAACGCTTTTAATCGAGCACAAAGCAGATACAAATCATAAAGCAAAGGTAATTTCGAAGTCGATTTAACATATTTTTAATTTTTAAGCTGAGAAGTTCCTCAATTCAATATTTTTCATTTTTCAGAATGGTCTCACGCCGCTTCATTTGTGCGCACAAGAAGACAAAGTTAATGTCGCTTCTATTCTCGTTAAAAATGGTGCTCAGATCGATGCTAAAACAAAGGTGCGTTACACTGTCAAAAAATGAAGATCAATATTTTATTTCTATAAAAAAAGACAATATAGCCATCGGTAAACGTCGATTTTAAAGAAAGCATTCGTGTATGTTATAGGCTGGTTATACTCCGTTACATGTGGCAGCTCATTTTGGTCAGGCAGCTATGGTACGATTCCTCTTACGATCCGGCGCAGCGGTTGACAGTAGCACGAATGCTGGATACACTCCACTGCATCAAGCTGCTCAACAAGGCCACACTTTAGTAATCAATTTATTACTTGAGGGCAAAGCGAAACCGAACACCACTACTAATGTAAGTGAATTTTTGTATGAAAAATATATTCTCATATTTTACTTAATAATCGTATAATCGTATTCTCTGTTCACAGAATGGCCAGACTGCGTTGGATATTGCACAAAAGCTCGGTTACATTAGCGTTATCGAAACTTTGAAAGTTGTTACAGAAACTGTAATTACAACAACTCATACGGTGACCATAGAAGAGAAATACAGAGTACAAGCTCCGGAATCGATGCAAGAGACATTCATGAGTGATAGCGAAGACGAAGGTGGTAAGTCTTTCTTATTTCCTAATCCAAACGATTTCAGATGTTGCTTAAATAAAAGGTATATTCTGTGCAGTTTTGGAAAATTTATTAAGTACTGAAATAGCAAATTAATAGATATAGCTAGCAGACTACATTTAAAAATGAGCTAAGTCGATGTACTCGTTTC